AGTGTGCAACTACTCAAATTTTATTCAAGGAGTTTTTAAAACCAGACAATTGAGATAAAGCACTTTTTAAAAAGGAATTCTTTGCTTTTGCTTTCACGCAGTCCAGAACAGAACAGATACAAATGCATGAAACGATGATTAAAACACACAGTTTCTCAAAACCTGTGTTAAATAATTATTGACCAAAGTAACTGATTCTCTTTGCTATATTTAAGCAGCTCTGCATTCATGACTGTTTCTTAATGTCTTTAAAATGAGGCAGGCTGCTGGAGGCGGCTGGTGATGAAAGCAACTGTAACCTTCAGTTAGATGAAATCATTTCAGTCTCCAGCCACAATCACAGTTTAGCTCTATGTCCATTTAACTGCCTCTCAGGGTCTCCGGATTGTTTCAAATCCCGTAGGTGTTTGTAAATGCACAATTCAGGTTTTCCTTTCATTTATCCAGGTATAACAGTTGAAAAAGATCCGAGCAAAGAAGGATTTACATCAACAATAATGCTCTTAGAGCTTTTACACTGGTTTAACTAATGAATAAAAGTAAAACGCGGACAATCATCACAACAAACACCAGTCATTCTGTCTGATTTCAGAGGTGGTTTGTGCCGCTCCCTCCATCTACCTGGACTTTGCCCGATCCAATCTGGATCCCAGGATCTCCGTCGCAGCACAGAACTGCTACAAGGTGGCCAAGGGAGCGTTTACTGGAGAGATCAGGTATCTCTCCTAACTCAAATACTTTATTTATAATGCTGCGCTCACAGGCATACCCACTCTGTGATCGGCCTTGGGGCGGATATTATTTCTGTTATGTCGTACAGGTGCAAACACAGCAGCTCCCATTTGTGTCTCTCTTACACAAACACAAACACACACACACAAAACTTGTGCAAAAATAATATCAATAGAACCATTACAGTTTTGGATCAGCACCACGGACAGCGACCACAGCCAGAGGTTATTATTTAAGCTAATGCTATAATCCTTCATCCACCTTTTTGCTTTGCTTGCTGAGCATAATTTAAACTAGTTGCTCTATGAGACCCTCACTGGACAACAAATTAAATCGTTGACGTCAGCAAGTTTGTGCATATTTTGCACATATGAAAGGAAATAAAAATAATTTCTCCGCCACAAAACTTTTCAGAAATGTGTATTTTAATCAGATATTTGAAGCTAAAATGCATCAATAAAGTTGGGCTTTATCTTTGACTGCTAGTGTTAACTCTTTCACTGAACTAACACAGCTAATCCGTCAACATGTCGGTACTCTCTGCTCATATTGCCTTCATATTAAATCATTTTTTGCTCTTTAAAGAACTTTTTTTTAACATTGTACTCAACAAAAAACAAACCATCCCTAACAAAAAAAGGAACTGCAAGAGCCAAACTGCATTAAATTTCTTCACGTCAATATACGTAGAGTTGACCTGGGCTGTCCTACATGTGTCCTCTCCCTGCAGCCCAGCCATGATCAGGGACTGCGGGGCAGACTGGGTGATCCTGGGACACTCGGAGCGCCGTCATGTGTTTGGGGAAAGTGACGAGCTGATTGGCCAGAAGGTGAGAATCACAGAACTTTCCAATTATCTGGATTTCAAAGGCACATTTCTTTGTAAGAGTTTGCACAGCAGACACACAGTGATGGCAGCTTGTTCGTGCAGGTAGACTCTGACTTTGTCGGCGTTTCAGGTGGCTCATGCTCTGGAGAACGATCTGGGTGTGATCGCCTGCGTTGGTGAGAAGCTGGAGGAGCGGGAGGCAGGAACCACCGAAGAAGTCGTCTATGCTCAGACGCAGGTCATTGCAGGTAAATACGAGGGAAATATTAACATTTTTTTCTATGTTTTTTTTATTGTAGGCTTTCATGATCTGTTTTATTTTTTAGCTTTTCTGCTTTATATTATTTTTTGCATCTTTTTTTATGGCTTAATCTAAAAATAAGTCATTCATTTCTCGAGTTTCTTATTCTAATGTTTTATTACTTTATTATTATTATTCATGATTATTGTTGCGCTATTATGTTTGTACTTTTTCGATATGTTAAATTAAAATAATTAGTTATTTACTCAAATATTTCATTTAAACAAAGTTACAATAACTAATAACGAGATTCATTACATAATATTTTGAAGGAAAACGAGCAGTTTGAACTAAATCGGATGTTTTTACACCTTTTTTGTATTATTATGTTCTTTAGATCAAAAGTTTGGTTATTTAATGGTTCAAATGTTTCTCTGATTATGAATAATGACAAAAAAACTGTTACAGAAACATAAAAGTGAACTGCTGGACTCTACTCTGTTTCTATTCTGTGCATAAAGATAGAAAAACGAGTTTCTTTTGCTTCTGGATTCGTTCTGTCTGCTCTGAGGCTTTACAAAACCTGATTGATGATCTTTTCCCTGGTTCCATCTTGGCCTCCTGTATTCTGCTTCTGTACTGAAAGTAGGCCACGTACTGATTTAAAATGTAAATAGGTCAGTGGTCTCTGCCTTCAACAGACACAGCTGCCTCTGTTAAAGCAGGCTTTGCAGCTTTAAAGCCAACGAAGGTGGAGAACTGATGGCAGCTTGCAGCCGTGGTCTGCTTTTAGGATGTTGCCTGATCAGAAAGGACCTTTTGAGTTTGCTTATTCTTTCTGAAAGGCAGGGAAACCTTTTAAAGAAGAAACACACCAGACAGATTTGTTTTGGAAGAAATGATAACCATGTTAATTATTAAGGTAGATGTCAGGCATAATCCTGTTATATGGCATCGTGATGTGAAATGTGGCCTCTCGGCTGATAAACCGTTGACTTATTCCACCATTATCCTTCCATATTCTTTATACAGACTTTGCAGGTCTTTAAAATGATATTGCTGCAGCCCAAATGCACGTTGTGCTCAAAGACCGGCTGCAGGTGGCAGCTGATAAAACACCTTGTTTGGTTGCAGAGAATGTAAAAGACTGGGCGAATGTCGTGCTGGCATATGAACCTGTTTGGGCCATCGGCACAGGAAAGACAGCCACACCTGAGCAGGTAATACCGCAGCCACATAACTACAAGGCCCATAAATGAGCACATAAATAATCATAACTTCTCACATTACATCCAGTCCAGTGGGATGTTTTGCCCTATTTCCAATTTTTATCTTTGTCATGTTTTAATATCTAGTGTTACATAACTGCACACACGGGCAAATCGGCTGCACACGTAACATAATTGTTATATGATTTAAGTATGGGCTCCGTGGAAATGAATCCTGGGAGTTGATTTTGAAGATGTGACGGTTTAATGATTCTGTTCATGAACACAAACTCATTTTTTCTAGTCTTTTTAGTTTTGCAGTCACATGTGAAAAAGAGAGTTCACACAGGGCATGAAGTATTTTCTGTATGACTTCATCAGTCTCTCGTGTTATTGTGCATCGCTTCAATTCATCGAGGTTTGGAGCATTCATTTATTCATAGGTCTCATTTTAATCAATGCATGCAGGCTCAGGAGGTCCACGAGAAGCTGAGGGCGTGGCTCGGAGCAAACGTCTC